TCATTGTCGGGGGGCGGGGGGACAAGCAGTGATGCCATCCAATGGGCAATGGCCAGGCCACTGTCCTCGATGCCCCAGAGGCTGGCACCAGATGCCTGGCCTGGTGAGCAGTCACCTCACAGGCCCCTTCCGGTCGAGGCCCAGTCACCCAGGGGTGACTCATCCTTGCCCCGCCTCCACTGGAACCAGGCACTGAAATAGTCACCCAGCTCACTCTCGGGAGTGGCTGTGGAAATATTTCAGGGCTACGTTCAGTGCCTAAAAATACTCTGTGGGTCCTCATGAGCCTTCCCCTCCCTCATTCCCTTCTGTTCCTTTGAAAGCCATTCCTGTGAGCACCCCAGGACCTGTCCCTCCATGTTGTGACCCTCCAGCACATTGAGTGTCCCTGGAGACCAGGTTGGAGATTGTCTCTAAATGCATGTGGACTGTGGTGCAGTGGCCGGCCTTCATTGTCACCATCGAGACCAGGATGCAGTTTCCCCGGAACATTCTGGAAAAGCAACCTTTCCTGAAACCCCTAGAAGTCTTTTCTTGGAGGGGGATGCCTGGAAGCAGCAACACTATCCAGGGATATCTTAACTGTTTTCCTTAAAAATGAGAAAATTCTAACTGGTTTGGCTCAGTGGATAGAGCGTTGGCCTGTGGACTGAAGGGTCCCAGGTTCAATTCCGGTCAAGGGCATATAGCCTTGGTTGCGGGCACATCCTCGGTAGGAAGTGTGCAGGAGGCAGCTGATCAATGTTTCTAACTCCCTATCCCTCTCCCTTTCTCTCTGTAAAAAATCAATACAATATATCTTTTTAAAAAAAATGAGAAAATTGTTTTTTGGTTTTTGTTTTTTAAATATATTTTATTGATTTTCATGAACCAAACCTGGGCCCCTTAAGTCCGCAGGCCAACGCTCTATCCACTGAGCCAAACCAGCCAGGGCGAGAAAATTATTCTTGCTGTTTGTGTCCACAAGTCTGCAGAAAGTAGGCTCCCCAAAAGAGCCCTCAGCTGGACTGAACCCCATAGCCTCCCCTACTTGCTGTGAGACCCCTCACAGATTGTAGGTCCTTTCTCCCTCTCCCCTGGGGGGCAGACTGTCCTCTTCAAGGCACCCAGACGTCCTTGACATCATCCCAGCCATTCAGCCTCCTGGCACACTGTCCTAACAGAGAAGATGGGAGAGGGGGAGAAAGAGAAGTAAGCGGCTACCTCCTGCTCTCCTCCCATGTGATCAAGCCGGCAACCCCGGGATGTGCTCTAACCAGGAGTCAGACTGGCAACTTTCGGTGCAAGGACGACACCCAACCAACCGAGCCACATTGGCCAGGGCCAGGTTTCCTGCTTTTACCCAATGTCCTTTTTATTATTTCTAAGTGGGTAACACTCACTAACATAAAATTAACCATTTTAAAGTGAACAGTTCGGTGCCCTTCACAATATTGTGCAACCAGCTCTATCTAGTTCCAGAACATTTTCATCCCAAAGAGAAACCCTATCTGTTCCCACCTCTACCAGCCCCTAAACCACGAATCTGCTTCCTGTATCTATGGATCTGGTTGTTCTGGACATTTCGCATAAATGAAATCATACAACATGTGGCCTTTTGTGTCTGGTTTCTCTCAGCGTCATTTTCGAGGTTCATCCACATTGTAGTGTGTCACTCCTTGTGGCTGAATAATATTCCACTGTGTGGATGGACCACATTGTTTATCCTTTAGCAGCTAGCTCATGGAACTGTTTGTCAGTTATTGAGTGTCTACTCTCTGCTAGGCACAGTTGTAAGCGCTTAATCTGCACCTTCTCCATGAGGTCATACTGTGACCACCATGCCCAGTTGCCCATTTCCCAGTGAGGGAAATGAAGGCAGAAATTGGCAGACAGGCCTCCAGAGGAACCACAGACCATACTCTGGAGGTGGGGATAGAAACAGATAATAAGGAAGCGCTTATTGAGTGTTTACTCTCTGCTAGGCACAGTTGTAAGCGCTTAATCTGCACCTTCTCCATGAGGTCATACTGTGACCACCATGCCCAGTTGCCCATTTCCCAGTGAGGGAAATGAAGGCAGAAATTGGCAGACAGGCCTCCCGAGGAACCACAGACCATACTCTGGAGGTGGGGATAGAAACAGATAATAAGGAAGCCAAGAATCAAGCAAGATAAATGCCAGGTGAAGACCCTCAGGATCTTCCAGGCAGACCAGTATGTGCAAAGGCTCCAAGGTGGGAGTGGGCTGATGTGCTGGAGAACAAATGACTGGGGGAGAGGAAGGTGGAGTGGACAGCCGCTACAGGTTCTGGGATGTGTGGGGAAGGGTTTGGACTGTACTCTGATGTGGAGAGGCAGAGAGAGACGCAGGAAGAGAGGATGAGAGATGGAACAGGAGGGAGAGGCTGTCTCAGATCTCACACCTTTCAGCAGGTGCTGGGTGGGTTGATGCAGGAACTGATCCAGCTACCCCAGGGTCTTAACCATCCTTCTCCCAGTCTCAGAAGCCACTGCCAGAGTGGACCCTGCAGAGTAGGGGCCTGGCAGGGTGCTGTGAACACCGGGACAGGCCAGTTGGGTACCAGATGCTGCTACCTGCCTCTGCCTGAGTCAGCATCGCCATGGCAACGTGGATTCTACCAGATCCTCCTTCCGGCACATCCCCCATCATTGCAGGCACTTTCACGTCATTGCCGGGGGCAGGGGCAGTTATTTTTACCCAGGCTGCTGACAGCACTCAAGGACCAAGATGCCCATTCCCCCATGCCTCTTAGCCCTTTTGCCTCCTAAGCAACCAGCTCCCTGCAGACTTTCCAGGCTCTGCGTGGAAGGGGGCAGGGACTGTCTAAAACAGTGGGGTACTGCAGGTGAGGAAACATCCTGTGCAAGAGCTGGCAGTGGACAGCTGGAGTGGGCAGCGCTAGGGGGTGACAGCAGTAAGCCAGAGTGTGGGGAGGCCCGGGTGGCACTCAGAGGGAAGGTGGCCCCTGAGCCTCCCGGACTGTGGGCACTGGTGGGGAAAATGAGGCGGGGAGGGTAGTCATGGGCTCCACCTGGGTTGGTGAGGACTCCAACTACCCATCACCCCATCTGCTTATGACGGGTGCTCCTGTGATCCTCCCGCACTTACCTTCCCCCATCTCCCCTCTTCTTACCCCACCTCGGGCCTCCTGGATCCTCCGACATACTGTGCATTCCGACCTCAGGTCTTGCATGTGCTACTCCGGCTTTCAGGTGTGCCCTCACACCACCCCCTTTGGAGGTGGATCCTCTGCACTCTCTCCACTCTCCCTCCCTGCAATTTCTTCATAACTCTTAGCACTACTTGACATTACATGTTATCTGTTCTTCCAGCTGTTCCCACCCTAAGAATGTGGGCCTCGGTTTACCCGGCTTGTGAATGGCAGCAGCCAGTGTGCAGAGTGAAGGGGGAACCAGGCGATGAAAGGCCAGTGTCTGGGTCCTCCCGCCTGACCCAGAACTGCAAGGACAGAGTGGGACCTTGGAATGACCTACAGCTCGCTGGGCAGGTTGGCCCTCAGTTCAAGCCCACAGTGGGAACAGGAAGTCAGTGGGCAGTGGGCAAGCCAGGCCAGGGTGCCTGCCATGGAGCCTCCAGGACAAGTTGGGGTGGCCTATGAGCCCCCCTCCCCCCATACACACACCATCGCCACATACTGATCATCCGTGCATGTCACCACCAGCTTCAATTGCGCGGCCCTGGGAGACAGTCACTCCATTTTCACTGAAGACTGGTTCGTTCCAGTCCCAGCCCAGAACGATGGATCCCAGTGAAAAACATGATAAACATGTCTTCCTGTCTCCAGCCTTTCCCAGCTGTCTCCTTCCTCCTTTCCTCTAGGTCGCTGGACTTCTCCCACTGGCTCCACCAAACTTTTCTTCCCTCCATCTCTGCCTTTCGCTCTTTACATCAGCTACTATCTTCCCTTTCTCTCCCCATAGTTCTATGCTCCCGGTCCCCCAACCCCCATTAATCCAGCCTTGGAACCGGCCCCTTGACCTTGGTCTATCTATTCATCGGACACTCATGCCCTCCCCAGAGCCGGGCAGGCTTCCAGGGACCAGCGGGGAAGGGGTTAACCGCGTGGCTTCCCCTCCCCCCAGCCCTGCATTTAATTAGCGGCCCAGAGAGGCAGCCAAGCTTGGCGAGAGCGGGGAGAGGAGGAGGAGGAGAAGTGGAGGGGAGGGCGGGAGGGCGGAGGAAGTAAAGGAGGTGGATGAGGGAGGAGGGGCGCCGACGCCAGCCTGGAACTCGAGTCCCGCATCGCAGGGTCCCCACTCAGGATGTCTGGGCTCCCAGCGCTGACCTTTCCACACCCCGCCCCTCCCACCCCACCCAGGACTTCCAAAGGCCGAGCCGCGGTGCATGTCGGCTCTTCCTATCGTTCGGTGGAGGAAACTGAGGCCCACGCAGATGTGGCAACCAACCGGG